GGCTTGGTGCAAATGCTCACTGTGTCTTTTGGCTCTCCAGCTTGGAGAGCAAGAAACTCAGCCTATGCTGCCCCGGCTCCCAGGCTGAACTGGCCTCCTGCAAGCAGGGATGCGGGAAGGTATCTACTTCCCTGGACTGGGTGGCTTTCCCATTAGTCGACTGCACTTTCAGTGGGGAAATTCCAGCCTGCGAATGCCAGAGCCAGGCACTCTCTGCTCCACACCAGGCCCACAGAGAGGGATGTTGCAAACCATGTTTTCAGTCAGTGGTGCTTGGGAGCAAGTTGGGTTGATGTGCACCTGCCTGCGCTGCTGCCAGAGCAGGTTGCTGCTCGCTGCCCCTCTGCCTGGCTGCATGGGGCTGCCCACAGCTCTGCCCAGTGCTGGACCCAAAACCCCAGCTGAGCCGCCAGCAAAGCCGCCAGTAGCCCCGCAGCCTGGCCTGGCTGCCGGCACAGGACCTGGGACACGGTTCCTGCCTGTGCCCTTGGCTCTCACCAAGGAAGCAACTCTGGAGCTCATTTCCCACCATATTTAACTCAGGAGCAGGTTGCAGCCTCCCGGCACTGCAGCAGTGCAAATAATGACCCTTTTAGGATGAAAAAAAGGAGATCTTTAATATATGCATCAAATCTTTCTCCATGTGGACGTTCCCGCCTATTCAGCTGGTCTTAAAACCAGCAGCAGCGGTGATGCCCTTTGATGCTTGCAGGCCTGTGTGTTTCTGCACGCACATGCCAGCAAATGTCCACCCCACGCCTGGGGGTCTGTGCCACTGTTGCTGCCCTTCAGACCCTCTTTCAGTGGATGTGCTGTCTGTGTGTTCATCTGTGTGCATGTGCATGGGTGGGTGCACACGCGTGGGCACCAGGTGCGCATGTGGAGTGCGACTGTGAGTGGGAAGACGTGTTTTTTTAGCTCCTTGTTATTATTAGTGGTAGGAGCCCAGTGGCCGTGAGGCTGGAGGTGCCCGAGACCTTAAGAAAAACAACAGGAGGGAGGAGGGTTTCGCTTCCTGCTCCCGAAATTTTTGACAGCCTTTCCCTGCAATGCAATTAATCCCGGCAGCGCCTCTGCCACCCTCCCCCTCCCGCCTCGTCCAGGAATTAATTACTTGATTATAAATCCCCGAGCGGCAGTTTATAATAGCAATAATCCCCTCGAAATTCATCCTCGCTGCTGGTTTCTTCCCATCTCCCCCCCGTCATTGAGTGTCTCTAACGCCGTGTCTCCATGCCAGGCGAAGCCCTCCTCCTCGCCCCGCCGGTGTGGAGGTTTTTCCCTGGGAAAAATTTTTGCCTGGGGGTGGAAATTAGGAGTTGATTTTGACGGATGTTTTGGGAAACGCTGCCCCTGCTTGCAGGGACGGAGCTCTTCTCTCATGAGTAGTGGCTTTCATCCTGGCTGGAGAAGCGTGCAGGAGCAAGGCGCTTGCGCTGAAAGCTGGGGATAAGGTTTTGTCCCAGTTACTGGGCTGATGGCCCAGCCCCAGCCCCGAGGAGTGGGGGCCGGGGGCTGGCAGCATGATGGGGGGAGGCTCTGTTCCTCCTCTCTCTGTCCCTTCTGATTACGCTGATGCTGGCTCTGGGGCTTGTCACGGAGGCGGGGAAGGGAGAAAGGATTTGGCGTGGCATACAGGGGCGCGAGGGGGGTGGCGATGTCTCGCGGGAGCCTGCCAGCGATGGGTGATGGGCCTGGAAACGGTGCTGCCATAGTGGGAGACGAGCCTCTCCGTGTGTCCCCCAGGGTCCCCAAGACTTTGCAAGGGGGTGCCCCCATCCAGGGGACCCAAATCAAGATCCCCAGCTAATAAGGCAGCCCAGCACACATGGCCCCAGCGTGGCCATTGAAATAGCGAGGTTTCCACCTCCACCAGCCACGTGTGGGCTTTCAGCTCGGTGATGCCATCCTGCCAGGAAAAAGCCCTGTCCCCTCCAAACCGTGTGGGAAGAGCTGGTACGGGCGGCACCGAAGCTTCCCGGTGCGTGTGGCTGTCAGGCTCTGACGGATGCTTTTCTGTCTTTTCTGCAGAAGATGCTGATGAAGCAGCAGGACCGCCTGGAGGAGCGGGAGCAAGACATCGAAGAGCAGCTCTACAAGCTGGAATCGGACAAGCGGCTGGTTGAGGTAACTGGTGCTTCACCCTGCTGTGGCCAGCCCCGGGGACTGTCACCCCATGGCGCAATGGGGACAGGCTCCCAGGGCGTAGGAGCCGAGTGGGCAGAGAGGAGGGAGGACACACAGGGGAAGGGCAGCCAGCCAGACCTGCCATCTCCATTCCTGTCCTGGCAAGTTGTACTTTTGGGAGATGAAATGTGGGCTGCCCTACAGCCTCATGGGTCCTGGGGTGAGTTGGGAGGCAAGGAATGAGGCTATCCTTAAATATCAGGTATGTCCCCCCCTGCTTCAGCTCAGCACAGCCTTCCTTGGGCCACCTGCTTCATCCTGAGTGGGAGGGGAGGGTGTGGAGATGGGACACCCCCGAATAAACTCCTGAAATACCCAGGAGGTGAAAGAGATGCAAGTGAGTGTTTGCTGGGACACAGGTAAAAGAAGATCAGCTCATGGTCCTTAAAGCCTCTTGGCCTCCCAGAGCGTGGAGGGAAGGGTTCTGGAGCATGATGTGACCCCAGTCTGGGGTGGGGATGATGGTGAGGATGGGCAGGGTTTTTCAAGGGAGCAACACCTCCCTTGGTGGTGTAGCAGGTTCTTGCTTGGCGTTAGCTTTCCTAATGGTGATCCCCGCCTAGACCCCAGGAGGTAGGTCCAGGGGATCCGCTGGATCAGCTGAACCTCTGCAGTGGCCCTGGTGGGTCTACCAACACGTTGGGGTCCCATGTGGCAGCTGACCACAGGTTGGTCTGTGTGGGCATTGCAGGAGAGCAGAGCTGTGGTGCAGCGCTCGGGTCGCACCCACCCCTGCTGGGGAAAGGACCCAGGTGTCCTGGGACATTACGGCGGAGGTTGGAGGGCGCAGAGGGGCTGACCCTGCTCCTCTCCCCCAGGAGAAGGTGAGCCAGCTGAAGGATGAGGTGCGCCTGCAGTACGAGAAGATGCACCAGATCTTGGATGAGGACTTGCGGAAGACCATGGAGATCCTGGACAAGGCCCAGGCCAAGTTCTGCAACGAGAATGCAGCCCAGGTCCTGCACCTCAACGAGCGCATGCAGGAGGCCAAGAAGCTCCTCAGCTCTGTCCAGGTCATGTTCGACAAAACCGAGGACATCAACTTCATGAAGGTGAGATGAGCTGCCCATGCTGGGGGTGGGACGGGGCCAGGGGGAGGTCTGGTTGTGTAGGGAGCATTGTGGAGCGAGCTGAGGGCACCGACAGGGACTTGTTGGTGCCTCCAGAGAGCTTGGCAGTGGGGGAAGGCAAGGAGGAGCGGGGCAGGCTCAGCGCTCTGGCCTTGGCCTCATAGAGATGCTGCAGCTGGAGATGGGGCTGGAGCAGCCTGTGCCAGGAGGGAAGAGGGGGCTCGGCACCCCTGGGCAGCCTGCTCCCTCCTGGGGGCTGTGGAAGGTGACACCGAAAAGGGAGGTGATCACTGGAACAGGGACTGTCCTTACTGACCAGGGCTTCTCCTTCCCCTCCTAGAACACCAAGTCTGTGAAAATCTTAATGGACAGGTAAGTGCAGCGGGGCAGGCGTGCTCGGGGGGAAGGGGGGCTGTCACGGGGGCGGCAGCAGCACAGTGTCCGGAGGAGAGGCAGGGCCAGGGATGCTGCAGGGCCTGGGAGAGGCGTGCTCTGTGCCTCAGTTTCCCTCTCTGAGAGGATGAAAAATCCCCTCCTGGGGCCATTGAATCAAGTCCTCCCCTTGGACTAGGGGAAACAACAGTGTGTTTGTGGGAGAGCAGAGCTGGGACACAGCCAGGATGGGACCAGTGGGTTGGGGTGCAGGGCGCAGTCCGGCTCTGCTGGGGCAGAGGCAGGGCAGGGGGTTACAGCCAGCGCTAGCAGAGCTGGGGCGAGCTGGGGTGGCAATGCACGTGGGAGGGACATGGGCTGTGGGAGGTGCGCCCTGGCACTGGACGTTCACAGCAAAGCTGGACAGGGAAGGTCCTGCCCATCAGAGCGAGCCAGTTCCCTGCTGCCCTCCACACTGCTGCCCTAGGGAAGGGGTTTGACACTGGGAGGGTGCGGGGGAAGGATCTGTCTGACCCTCCCCTGAGTGTACCTTGTCCCTCCCGCCTCTCTCTGCCGACGGTCGCCAACAGGACCCAGAACTGTACAGGTGGCAGCCTGCCCCCACCCAAAATCGGCCACCTCAACTCCAAGCTCTTCCTAAACGAGATCGCCAAGAAGGAGAAGCAGCTCAGGAAGTTGCTGGAAGGTGGGTGAAGCCTGAGGGGTGCTGGGGGGCGTGGGGCACGGGACCTTGCTACCTCCTGTATCCATAGCTGGGTGCCCTGCAGATCCCAGTACAAAAAGGTGCAGGGACCCCTGCAAACCCCTGTGGTCAGCTGGGTCAGGGCATAGAGGTGCTGTGAGGCCAGTTCCTGGCTATCCCCAGGATATTTCCCTTGGCTTGTGGAAAGGCTGTGTTTTGGGGTGACACAGCAGGGGGGCTGGCCATCAGCAGGATTTTTTTGGGGGTCAGCGCATGGGCAGGGACAGCCAGGGGACAGCGTGGTCCTGCAGCCCCCAGCCCATTCCTGAGAGCAGACCACATCCTGCGGAGGCTTCCCAGTCCTCTCTCCTTGCGAATTTGGGTTTGGGACCCAGGCTGTCCTGCTCTCATCCTGTTACGGACTGTGGCCATGAGCTGTGCATGGGCTCAGCCTGCGCACGTGTTGGCAGAGCAGCGCTTGGGGCTGCTCCAAGCCTGCTGGCAAGGTCCCAGAACAGAACCTGCAAATTCACCTGCGTACGGCTGTGTGCCCAGTTCGCCGCTGGTGGGGCAGGCTGGGGAGCCCTCTGCTCGCACCAGGCTGGAGCACGGGTCTCGAGGCTTCACTGCCAGTTCGGACCAGCGGCCGGAGCACCCTGGAGCTGGGCCATGCCACGCCTGACACAGTCTCTCTCTCCTGTTCCCCTCCACAGGTCCTCTGAGCACCCCTGTCCCCTTCCTGCAGAGCATCCCCATGTACCCCTGCACCGTCAGCAACTCCGGCGCGGAGAAGCGCAAGCACTCCACCGCCTTCCCTGAGGGCAGCTTCCTCGAGCCATCATCTGGGACTGTG